GCCCAGCCCGTCCGCGGCCCCGGGCGACCGGCGCGCCCCCGACACCCTGCGTGCGCGCCCCCGCGCCCCTCCCTTCGCGCGCCCGCCGAGCGCGCATCAGTACGCAGAAGGGAAGGATGCTCGGGTGGCGCTGCCCCGCCCCGCGCGTGGGGAGCTGTTCGCGCAGCCCGGGCGGCAGAAGCCCTCCCTGCTGACTGACCTGCGGCGGACTGGCCTTGAGAATGATGGTCACGAGCGGCTGCTGGCGTTCGCTGAGCGCCTGCTTGATGCCAGGCCCGCAGGAGGAATAAGCTGCAGCCCAGCAGTATTGCATGTCTGTCCCGTCCATACTCCTCAGCCATCAGACTGTGACTTCCGGGGGGCAGGAATCTGTCCGACAGCTTGTGCTCCCAGGGCCTAGCGCAGAGACTTGCTGATGACAGACTCCCTGGGAATGTTTGCTGATTGAAGCGTCCTCATGGGGTCCTGAACTGGTGGTGTGAGAAAGCTTGTGACTGGTGGTGGTGAGGTCTTCTTTTTAAAGAGAGATTTTTTCCTATAGGGCGCGTGTGCTCACGGAGAGACAGAGGAAGACAAAGAGACAGAAAGTGAGAGATCACTCTCTCCTAGGAGGGATGGCCACTGCACAATCCCTTCTCCACCCTCCTCCTGGGATCTTGGGCATGCACGCACACTCCTGCAGTGTGAGTTTGAAGTCACCCATCTGGGACTCCAACCACAGAAGGCTATGTGGGAGTCCACCAGTGTAACGCTGCACAGAGATTTCCTCTGCTCTAGGAGGCCTCGGCGCAAGTTAGGATGAAAGAAGCCCTGGTGGAGAACCCGGAGAGCCGATTGTTAGACCTGGCACCGGCAACTCTCCGCCACGGGCAAGACATTTCTCTGTGGGTCGCAATTTCCTCACCGGAACCATGCAAAGTTGACTGAGTGATCACTTCAGGTCCCTTCTAGCTCTGACATGGAGAAAGCCTTAGGCTTTGGCTGACATGATGGTACAGAGAGACCCCAGCTCAGATACTTCTTGAAATATGGAAAGATTCTGATTGGGCAATTATAAAATCTTAGTCTGGGAAGGCACTTGGAAATTTCTAGTTCATCTCCAGGTCCCAAACTCGGTCTCCTCTGCAGCACCCCTGCGAGGTCCCACTAAAGGATATGGTGGCCCTTTCTCTGTTCACACAGCTCCTACCCTGGCACCACCTTCTCTGACCTGTCCCCACCTACCTGACTCTATCTCTTCCTCTAGCCCGTCAGTTCTGGGAGCGCAGGAATGTATCTTGTTCCCATACTATCCCTGACCCTGGCACATAGTAGGTCCTCAGTAAAGTTTGCTGAAGAGTAAGTGACTTTTTAAAAAGAATTATTTATTTTAATTTTATTTATTCATTCATTTATTTTAACTTGACCAGAGAGAGAGGGAAAGTGAGAAAGCAAGCCACCAGGTCCAGGACTCTACTCATGGTCAGCCATGTGCGAATGTCCAGCGCCTTAACCACCTCGCCACCTGCTGGCCCTGGAATGAATGAGTACTAATGATAAACGAACTCATCCAAGTAACTGAAAAATGCTTCTCTCTTTGGTGAGGTGCTTGCAATCAGTTGTGGTTATTGAGCAAGGACTACGCCATGAGAAAGAGGAAGACTGACGGCTAGGACCTGAGCCCACATCTGTCCCTTTCTTCAGGAGCCCTGAGCACATATTTTCTGCAGGGTCCTTTCTATACAAACGATTTGCATCACTCAAAATCAGCATCTCAGCAAGTTCTGGCCACCTGACCTCACAGAGACTTGTGAATGAAATAGCACGCCTTCCTGGAGCTGCGTGACCCCATAGGCACCAGCCCAGAAATGTCTTCAGATATCGGGTCAACCCCAGTAGAGAGAGTGAGAGGGAATGTAGAGGGTTGGAAAACTGTAAAGGGACAATCTGGAAACGAGGAACCCTGTCCAGATGGCACTCCTTGTCCTGGCAGGCCCTGGACACTGGAGGGACATCTAGAAGAAGACATTTCAAAGCCCCAGGACTCCTCAGGCCTTCACAGGGCAGGGCTCTGCTTTACCCTCTTTACTGAAGCTGTCCAATTGTGGCTGGCTCCATGGGATAAAGAAAATAATTGTCCTTTCCCAGACACCTGCTGTATGTCAGCCACTGGGCGTTTAGTATCTGCTATGTATTTGTTTTGTTTGTTTGTTTGTTTGCCAGAGGGTGGGTGCACTTGCAGAGGGGAGTGAGAAAGCACTCCCCATGGGGCATGGTCACGTTACAATCCCTTCTCCTCCCATGCCTGGAGTTTCTCAAGCCACAGGTCCAGGACTCGAACTGCCCAATAAGCCATGTGAGATCCAGCTGCCTTACCCATCATGCCACTGGCTGGCTCTGCACTTGCCTTTTATAGCACTTGTAGGTAGTTGTGTATAGGTGGTATAGTGTAGTGGCCATGGCAGCAGCTCTAGAAGCAGCCTGCTGGAATTCAAATACCACCCCTGCCATGTTAGATCTGAGTGAACTTGGGCAACTTACTTCCCTTAAAAAGTTATTATCAAAGCCACACAAGTACATAGTTGAATTGAAGCCAGGTCATTTCATTTCTTATAAAGTACATTTTCCCATCTCCAGAAGTAGGAGTCTGTGGAGCCTGTGGAGGGTCCTACCACTCTCTCTCAAACTCTTGTGTGTGCACAAGCACATGTGGACACCTTATTTCCTGACCCTGTGGCTCTCTCCATAGGCTGCTGTGTGTTTCTTTTTTTCTCTTCTTTTTTCTTTTTTGGAGAGGTTTTTGCTATAGGGTGCATGCACTAGCCAGAAAGACAGAGAGAGACAGAGAGACAGATAGTGAGATATCACCCCAAGGAGGGATGGCCACGCCGCAATCCCTTCTCCTCCATTCTCTCTCGGGATCTTGGGCACATATGCACACATGCCCGGCATGAGTTTAAGCCACCGGGTCCGGAACTCGAACCACAGTCGACTACATGAGAGTCCAGCAACATAGCCATTACGCCAACTGCTGGTCCCAAGAGTCTGATATTTTTAAAAATAATTTTATAAAAGCTATTTATTTCTTCCATAAATGAGACAGAGAGACAGCCACCTAGCACCTAGCAGGGTCCCGATGCCACTGTCCACCCCATCCCCAGCCAGCCCTGGATCACGGGCACATGCATGCCCAGCACACTCTGGGAGGCCTTGGGATGTGAACCCAGAACCTTTCCATGTGGGTAAGCCTTACAGAGTATCACATTTTACCCCTGCTCCACTGTCTGGCCCTAAGAGGAACCTTAATGTACCAATCCCTTCATATATGTTATGTCCCTTAGTCCTTGCAGAAGCCCGGTGAGGTGCAGATCAATGTCCTCATGTACTGGAGGAGGCTGAGGCTCAGTGAGGTATCTAAAAGTGTAACTTCACCCAGACGGAATGTGGCGAAAGGTTAACTTTGCCCTAAGAGAGGTCTGACTTTTGTCTCTGGCTCTTGGGAGGGTGTCTCTAAGCCCTTGGAAGGTCCTCTGATAAGAGTACTTTAGGCTACCTGCAGGCCTGGGGTACACCAGGTGGTCTATGCTCACTACGTGATGCAAATACACCATGAGCTCTTTGGGCACCAATCAGCTCCTCCAGAGGGGCTGGAAACTAAGATGGGCCATGTCTACACGGCCCAGTCCCCCAGCACCTCTAGACACTAAGGCTCAGGAGAGCATCCCAGATGGCGATGTCCATGCATATGGTCACACAGCTTTACAAGGAGAGTTTAGTGCAGTCCATGACTCCATGAGAGTCAATCACTGGAAACTCCGAGTGTGGAGATCGCCTGGACTCTGATCCAGCCAGCTTGTCCCTTGGCTGATTTTAACCTGTATCCTGTTACTGTAAGGCACCATAACTGCGGGGCCAGCAGGTGGCATGGTGGTTAGGACGCTGGACACTCCCACAGGGCTGACCACCGTTCAAGTCCTAGACCTGGTGGGTCGCTTTCTCACTTTCCCTCTCTCTCTCTCTCCCTCTCTCTGGTCAAATTAAAATAAATGAATGAATAAATAAAATTAAAATAAATCATTCTTAAAAAGAAAATAAATCATAACTGTGAGTACACTAGCTTTCCATGAGTTCGTGAGTCCTTCTAGCAAATCACTTGCCCGAGGGTAGTCTGGGGACGTCCGAGCTTGCAGGTGGATAGAAGTGAGAGAGGAACTGGGAACCGCGCCCTAACTTTGTCAGTGACACCAGAGGTGTGCCCTTCCCATCGCACCGCGCTCCTTTACACTGACCCTCTGTGTGACAAGGAATAACAGGAATTCGGGCACGTGAGAAGAACAGAGGGACGGCCATGCTACCTACAGTCGGGGGATAGACAAAGATGTAGGTGAGCAAGCTGAGCGCCACGATTAGAGCGAATATAGAAAGAGCAGATTTTAGAAAGTCCTGGAATCCCAGGTATTCAATTCAAAATAAAAAATTTAAAGAAAGGGATTAAGGGGAGGAGAGAATTGAGAGACTGAGCGCTGATCTTTCTCCCTTTTGGCCAACCTGCAATTGCTGGTGGCCCATGGGCCAGGTGTGGACACCCTCATGCTTTCTGCAGGCCCCTACCACACTCCCAACACACACCTGGAATGTTCTCAGGTACCTAGTTTTTTCCGCCCCACCCTGGGAAATAGCCAAAGGAAAGGAAGGGCCAGGCCAGTTCCAGACTAGAGAGGATCTTTCCCTCTGCTTTGAAAAATTTGTTAAAAGGCTGATTCCGGGGACCAGAAGTTAGCGTAATGGTATGTCACTGGACTCCCGCGTAGTCGACCGTGGTTCGAGTCCCGGACCTGGTGGCTTAAACTCACGCCGAGCGCATGTGCGTGCATGCCCAAGATCCCAAGAGGAGAATGGATAAGAAGGGATTGCGGCATGGCCATCCCCCCCCGGGGGATGATTTCTCGCTTTCTGTCTCTCTGTCTCTATCTGTCTGGCGAGCACACGCACCCAATAGCGAAA